TGAAATTAAATGACAATAACAGCAAAAGTGAGATCTGCTGGGAAGAATTGATACGAGAATGAGATCCTCAACTATTTTCTCCCTTTCTCAGTAAGATACAAGGGGCAGAATGTTTGCTTAAGATACATGTCCTTTATCAACCAAAGCATTGTTTTTTTAACAATTGAGAAAACTATGTGACAGAAGCTAAGTTTCCCATCTACTATCACCAAAAAACATTTCAGCTACAGATATTGATTTCTTTACAGTAAAGACACTGAAGAAGCAAAAATGATAAAAGTGTCATTAAGATGGGGTAAAACAAAAAGCTAACCTCACAAGCATCCGGCGCCAATTCAGAAAAGCTTGTTTTTCATTAGCATCAAGTTCTTCCACTGACATTTCGGGCGTCCAAGGAGGTCTGAAGATGAAGAATAGGCAAACCAAAAATGATACTCAAATCTCAAAGCTATGAATAAAAGGACACAAACAAAATCTAAAGAGAAGAAAAGCACGTGCCTCCGAGGCACTTGAAGACTACTTGCGTGCAAAGCCTCCTCTATCTTCTGTTGCTCTCTCCATTCTTCAGCTGCTATAGTACTTGAGCTCGAATTTGTGTCTCTGTACCAAAAACATTAGAGAAGCAATCTAATTAGCACATAAACCAAGGAAACACCATAAGAACATTCAGATGTATTCAGCTGAACAATAAGTTGAACATCTCCAATGAAAGATCATTGGTTAATTCTAGTCACCATCACCAAATTGAAACTGAGCTACAAAAAAACATTAATTCTGAATCAAATGACACAAAAGAAGAGAAATTTGAAACAAATAGAAGCTTACAAATTGATGGGCAAAGGTGTGGTGTTGCTGTGATTAATAGTGAAAAGACGCTCCGCCTCCTCGGCTTGCTCGATAATGGCGTCGATGTCGCTGACCTCGGTGACGGATTCGAGAACCTTCTTCTGGAGATTCTTGTAGTATTTGCCTTTGTCTTTCGATTCTTGTATCATATGGTTGTGGTGCTTCACCAGTGATCGCCCTAACGACGTCTTCTCGTTCTTCCCCA